GATATTATAGAAGATGATATTATTGAGGAAGCTGATAGCCCGTACAACTCTCCAGTGCTGTTAGTAAAAAAAGCGAATGGGAAGTATAGATTCTGTGTTGATTTTCGACAGTTAAACAGTATGACAGAGTTAAGACCTTGTGCCATGCCAACAGTGGTAGAAACTTTAGATCGCCTACAAGGTGCGAATGTGTTTTCGGTTCTCTGTCTTCGCTCAGGATACTGGCAGATACCGATAAAACAAGGTGATAGAGATAAGCCGGCATTCATCGTGGGTCAGACTGTGTTTGTCTACCTGAATAAGCTATAATAATGTACAGGAAATATACATAAATACGTGCTGATTTCCGAAATAAAACGATCCGTTTCCGGCCCTTGTCTTCTGTTGTTACAATTTAACCATCAGTAGCTCTTTAATATCAGCTGGCACCCTCGTTATTTACTCACGATTCCACTGGGGGTTAGAGGGATGCACTGTTATACGCTTGGCAGACATCATTTCCCTCACGAATTTGGATGATGAAATCCACTGTTAAATAGACCAGACAGGTCGAAGACGCGAGGTCAAACATCTCAATCATTTGACAGGTTGTCACAATAAGTTTGGCTGTTAGTGCATGGTCTCGAGCTAGTTCAGCAGCCATCCTCGCTCCGTATCTCCGATGGCGAAATCAGCCTCCTTTTTTTGACTGCCAGTTTTTTTGTTTTGGTTAATTTTTGGACACTGTATGAAAAGGATGCCAAGTGTTACAGGATCGACATTGCAAACAGTGGATGTTGCTTAATTGCTGACATCATTTATTTGCTAAAGACTTTTCATGGCCTCTTTATTAATACGTATTTCAGATTTTGACCTTTAACATTTACGGCTTTTGCGAGGTGAGAGAAGTTCGATTTTTCTTGGTTGTTCCTCATGCCGGATGAACAATTTGCGGAGTTAATAGTATGTTACGTGACTGTACTACACAAAGATACGTCATAGCAGATTCTCTGATAAGAATTCTGAAAGTCAAAGACAGACACTTATCTCTATTTTTCTAAAGTACCTGCTTCCACAGCTACAGGTGAATTATTATACACTGTCGGAATCAACAACGAGTGGATACCTATCGCATTTTAAATAGGAGCACGAACGCGCTGTCCTAATCATCCTAAAAAACTGTGTCAAATCTTGTTTTCTTTGATTAAAATTCAATTCTTTTGATGAATTTAGGTGCGTGGTCTTTGATAATTCTGCATTTCATCAAGCATATCATCACGGCCCTGTGAAACAATATTTCGACCGATGTTTAATTTGAAGTAGCGTTCATTCTACGTATTTTCCTGCTGGATAAAGCACTTCTTTATATCAAGGAGATATCCAGAAATTCGAGTCTTCTCTAATTAGATATATCACAGTAAAACGGCTGTTCTTACATAAAATCAGATGGATTCCATGTGACCAACTAGGAACTGGCGCAGTAAAATGTAGGCTTTTAATCTGGTCTGTGTTTTATTGCTTTTTTAACCTCATGTAAGTGGTTGTCGATACCTTTTCTGTCAAGAGGACTTGAATAATAGGTTAACCCGACCGTAAGCAACTCAGAAGGCAACACCTATGAAAGCACTGACAAATTCGTAATTAACGAGCTTAAAAACGATACCAATCTGCTTCAGTCCATTTAAACATTGTGCAATGTTGCTTCTGGTGTATTTTCTACACTATGAATACATATTTTTTGACATCAGAAACCATTAAGAGTTCTTCACTCCTGTCTTCGAACCTAAGAGTTTAACACAGATAATACTGGTTCACGAAGAAACAGGGCTCTCGGGTGGTGCCGTTGCATGATGTTACTCCATGCTGCTATCATCTCTTAGAGGTCAGGCTCGGACGTGTTCAGCTCTCCCAGATAACAGTGTACGAAGCCACAGTCAGTAAGTATAACATTATGTGAAGTGTCAACTACGTGTAGTCAATCGCTGCACCACTCCTTTTGGAGTTAACCAATGCTTCGACTGTTGAATAGAGGGAAAAGCTGTACAGAAGTTTACCAACGGCCAGGGAACTACACCTTAAAAGCAAGAAGTCTTATGAACTTAGTTTACTTCTGCTCACAAACACGATAACAAAAGTTGGAATTTTTTCGAGAGTTTCTGACTCCGTGCGGACTGCTAAGTATTTGAAGAATATGTCGTCCGGTTCTGTGAATTTAAAAAAGGATCTTCGTTATGCCAGGTCCACTGACATATGAAAATGTTATCACTTCATAAATTGAACATTTAAGCCTATTATCCGCTGAAGTTAAAAAAGTTCGCAACATTTTGTGTGACCTTTACTCCCGGTATATGTAGTCAATTTCTAACTCTTGCCTAATGTGGTCTATACTGTTTGTTGGATTACCTAAAGAAAAAACAAATTAGATTAGTGCATGTTCTTCAACAAAGTTGTACGATTAGGTTGCTGTGTTGCAAGTGTGGCTGTAATTGGAACAAAATTGACATGCTCCAATAACTCCAGTGGAAGTGACCATTCGTGGACACTTTTCGAGCGTTTGCAGAAGAAAGTCACCAGTTTCCAGAAAGCATTGCCTTCAGTTGTAAATGCTCATGCTTTAAGTGGTGAAGACGTTAAAGTTAAGCCGTGGGATTGGAACTGGGACGGCAGACACGTTACTCATTCAACTCCAAGCTCATCCGTAGATGGTGACAATGCCCGTACAAAGTCCAAGCACACTCGTCACCTATTGTTTATTCGACATGGCCAGTACCATTATGCAAAAGATGATGCAGACTGTCACCTGACAGGGTTGGGGCGACAACAGCTTGATTGCACTGGTTTACGCCTGAAGGAGCTCAATTTACCTTACCGAAAACTATATTATTCTACAATGACGCGCGCCATAGAATCAGCGGAGTTGGTATTAAATCACCTACCCGATGTGCCTGCCGAACCTTTAAGTTCACTACGTGAAGGTGCTCCCTACCTACTAGAGCCGCCTTTACCTCATTACAATCCAACACCGAAAGATCTTCAGGAGGATGGCACACGGATCGAGGATGCATTCAAATGTCATGTCCACCGTGCAGATGAAGAACAAGAAACGGATACTTATGAGGTATTCGTGTGTCATGCGAATGTTATTCGATACTTCGTGTGTCGAGCTCTGCAGTTTCCACCTGAAGCATGGATAAGGTTCTCTCTTGATCACGGCAGTATTACTTGGATGGTAATTCGACCAGATGGACGAGTTACTTTGAGGTGGCTAGGGAACTCAGGACATATGCCTCCTGAATTTATCACCGTCCAGTGAATGCATACGTTTTTCCCTCATATTGTACAGTGTATGATACGTATTTTTAAGTGCCATATCTCTTTTGATAGAAAAATGTCCTCTTTAAATAAAGTTTCAAAATTCACCTGACTTCTCCCTGGCGTTAACTTAGAATATATGAAGTTATTGCATTCCCTTGCATGTCTTATGCTATCCGCTTATTTAGAAAATGCATGAACTGCGTGAAATGAAAACAACGTTTTTAAAAATTGAGGTGTACGTCTCCACCAGACTGAATGGATTTGATTGAGATTTAAGATCAGGTCTTTACCTCGTCAGATCCCATAGACATATCGCTGTACAGATTATCAGGACATGTACTGCATATCTATCTACTTTAACGTACTTCCAGTACTGTTGATTTCTCAGCGATGTGAACTAAGGAAGAAGTGCTGAGTTGAATTTAACTTCGTCTTTTTACTTGGTCGTCATCAATATTTTCAAGCACTGAGTAGGTGATAAATGTTTTGTATAAGCTGATAGTTGTCGTGTAAAAGTCTACACCTCTAAGCTAGACATACTCTAGCTAGTTATGCATGTCTGGATGTATTGCGGAAGTATATTTGATTATCACTGCAGATGAAATTACCGCTGCACCGTGCCCTTACAAGCAATTGTTATGTAATTAAATCGTATTTTGAGGTGAACACCATGACGAATTACGCACTAGTTGTTTTCTATGTGGTACACCGTGAAACTGTAAAAGGCGACTGTGTATGAAAAATGGTAGGAACTTAACTGTAAGTATGCATTTACATTACCCGAACGATTAATAAGTACAAAAAACAACGAAGTGAAGAGGCCACTCAGGGTCGACTCATGTACTAAGTTTAACGACCTCTAGTCAGGACACGCACACTGTTTATAAGAGAATTCTCTTTATGCTAAAGCAGTGTTAGCCGGAAGATCATACGCGACTATAAGGCCTAGAGCTTTTGTTAAGGAATATTCAGAGGCCAGTCGACTATAAGACTACATCTTCAACAATATCTACTGCCAGAAATGAAGAGAATCTGTTATACACTATTAGCCTTGTGAGCAATGACAGATGTCTGTTGGTGGCGATCTATCATTTTATGGTTATTTCTCCTGCGAATGGTTATATGTCATTCGGGAGGTGGATTGCTTGCTGCATATTACTTCTACCCTATTAATATCATGTCGGTGATGAAGATGGCAAATGTCAACCAGGTACTGATGTCCGCGTTGAAATTTTGCCACCAACATGGTGATGATTGTTGAGTATCTTAAGAAAATATGTTAATGCTGATTTCAGAACATTAGCTGTACAGTTAGACGTAACTGAGCTTAACATGCTAATTTATAATAAGCGCATCGAAACCGTGCTGTTATTAGGGTGAGGCACCATCACTGTGTACAGCTGTCTATGTTATACTTCTTCAATTGTATTTTAACATGTTTGAGTGAATATTACTGTCATAATAAAGTAAGAATTAAAAGCATGAATACTGATGTCAAACAATCGAAGTATCGATGCTGGCTAGGATTAAAAACAAAGCTTTGAGGGGAATAACAAAGCATGAATATCATAAGCTATAAAATCAGATTTATTTTACAGTATTAATAATCTCAAAGGAAATGAAATATTGGGAAACTATACATACAAAAGTCCGTTTAGTTTATTCAATACTGCTGACAATTAGGTACGAAGTCGTTCCAAATCCATCTATCTGTCATTTAATGAAAAGAAAAGTACGTATAAATCAATAGCTGATTTCAAGAAAACGTATGTGTATTGCAAATTATAAGACCTACTTCTGCAAATTCTCACTACAAGGTAAACAGTAAGGTGAATTGATTGTTCAGCGACCATACAGTGTTTTCTAAACATAAGGATTTGAAAGTGGCTGTTGTGAGGGGAACTAAGAAGCAGTCTGCTCACCCTCCACTTGTAATCACAGCCAAAAGTGTTTGATTCAGTCACACCGCCGAAGGCTGGAGCAGACACGTAGCAAGTAGTAGCATTTAAAGCACCGAGTGGCACTTGACCATTAGCAAGACTTACCGAAATGTTCTATACAGAAAATATCGTACGTGAAAATATATGGAGTTTCACTAACCCTTCAGGACTGACAACCTGAACGCCAGCCAACTGTCTCCGAAGTCTCAGATTTTACCTGAGATCTAAAACACGACAAATCAGGAAGGCGGAATACACACTGGAGTCAAAAATGACCAGGGACTAATACAGTGAAGTATGGACTAAATTACCCAACTCATAGGTTTGCGAGGTAAAGGTCGAGGTAAGAGGATAAGCCCTTACGTCATAAGCACAAGAACAGTAATGTTCCAAGTATTCGGATTCATATTCATAAGAAGGTTATGTGGAGCTAAGAGACACTGAATCTGAAGCGATCAGCCCAATACCAAACACTGATGAGGCTTCTGTGTTAACATTGTCACCTTTCATCAATAGGTTAATAAGACAAGCACACCTATCAACGTTTGACATTTTCGTCTATACCTTCAGACCTCAGTCTCCATTTGGTCCCATCAGTCCCTGCCTGGGAGGGAAGTCTCGACATATTGTACTCGTTATCAGAGAGCTCTATTCTACCTTACTGCCCAGTCCACCGCCGTGAAATGAGGGTGGCTTTTTTCAGGCACCAGATTCTTAATCATCACATAGTACGCAGTACTAGGTGTGTGTTGAGTCTGTGAGATGGCTAGTTTAGGAGTAATAACTTAATAAAGGAATTACAGAACCTATCTTTCACAATATGTGAACAGTTAAATGTTATAGAGTAGAATGTGCAGACATAAGTGCTTTTATTCATATCAATCAGCCAGTAGTATATCCCTTCATGCATTTATGCTTGCTCTCTGGATTGCTGTTTATGGTTTATTTGTGTTTCTAAGGGAAACTAGGGTGAAATCTGACTTTGAACTGTGTAACCTGATCCAGTTCGCCAAAGTAACTAGCCTTCACTCGGGCGGTCTGGCTGTTATGACTTGCTGAGCTGAGTCAGACTGGGTATGCTGCTCTACCCTAAGCAAGATAAATATCTATTCGCATTGCAGATTACTTCGATCCAGTTAGCCAGCAATACAGGTTGGTATGAGTGGTTTCTAACCAATCAAACAGTAGTGAATAGCTTAGAGCATTCATAGGTCGTTTTTCACACGATTAATTAGTTTTTTACTTAAGCGCAAGAATATGAAATTAGAACATAAGTAGCTGGAGCTCTGTAAAATATTCTCCAGTCTGCTCAAGATATTACATAACTGTCAAACAGTAATTGGATACTTTAGTTTTAATAGAGTGATAAACAGTTATCCTCGGTGAACAGACAGTAAATGCACTTCCAAGTAGGGATGGAAGTAGTAACGGAATTGCAAAATGGGAAAACTGTGCAAACGAGGTTATAAATGACAATCAAGACGATGATTAAGCATGAACACTTCTTGGTTATTGTCTAACACAAGGTGATAAATACAGGATGGGTTTGCTTCGAGTGTTGATTTGATAATATGAAGTGAACTGATTGGATGCGTCGACCACTTCGCCAACACTAAATAATTAATTGTTGATGGAATTTCAACATATGTGCGAAAGACTCGCGAACTTGCATCACCTTTGACGATAGGATATCTCGCTACCAAGCAAAGGACGTTTTTACTTTAGTACTGCTTATTTGTGATTAATGACCACTGAAATTAGGTGTAATACAGGAAAGAGAGATTGCTGGCAACATGATTAGCACTACTGAGGTTAGGCATAGAGTGCTTTTAGTCCACAGAGGTAAATCAATCAGTGTGTTCATTTATGGACGTGTGTAAAATAAATATGTCATGCATGCCGATCCACTTAATGAACAGTGGTGAATGAAGTCGGATTAAGTCAAAAAGAGTTAAGGGTAGACAGACAGCAAGAGTTCATGAATTAATTGTCGGCTTAAACCCTGTTGGTAAGCGTAGGTTGCCAAAGTGCAGTATTCAGTAGAAGAATTATTTGTTGGAAACTCATTGTGAAGTGATTCAAAATGACTGACATGTTGCTAAGTCCTTCAAAGGAAAAATAGTATTAAAAGCGAACTTGTATTTAGACAAATCTCTTCTAATGTATTTGAATAGCCTAGCAACATGTCGTCTGACTTCAATTCTGAGAAGTGTCCACACTGGTAAGAATTCACCCACGCTTCACTATCTCACAGTCCTCCTGATGAAGCTTGTGGTCAAAATTTATCACCACGCTTCCGGTGGTGAAAACATGTCATTTATTCTTCTCTTGCGTCCAATAAACAGGAAACAAGCAAGGAACAACCTTCGGTCATCATGTAAGTAACTTCAGTCAACAGATACTTAGACTACGGTATCTTCGACCAATGTTAGTTAGAACTCAGTTATCCGGTACGGAATTTATCAACCACAAAACTACAAGCCAAAAATATTTCTTGACGATACTGTGATTTGTTCCCGCTGGATTCGATTAGGCCAATTCAAGTGCTTAACTCAACGAATCACATTCCCAAACAAAACAATTCCAACAGTGGTGTGAACACTGATCATATATATAAAAGTCTCATTTCTCTGGTGTTTCTGGCCAGGAAGTTGTGGAATTAATTGAAACTTGTTTACCTTCGAACACGGAATCTATGGATATAATCTTGTTGACTGTTAATACCCACAATCAACTATTTGGCACTTTGTGACTGTTTTAAACTAATATCTATAATTGGAATTTTGGATTTACATACTTAAGTTGATCCAGGTTAGTGAGTCTATGGTTTGGATATCATTTTTGTTAACTGTATTTGACAGTGATACTACTACTACGGTTATTTTGCTGTCACTGTCCTTCCTGTTTTCAACTTTTTCCTGTTGCTGGTGTTGTTCTGATTGCTTTATTCCTTGTTTTCCTGATTTCAAGGAGAGTTGTCCATAAAGTCGCTCCTCTGTAAACCACATATACATGCAACAACCCTTTCTCATGAGTGAGGCTAGCAACCCCACCCTGTAAACAAAGCTGCTACAGAAACTTCAGTGCGATAATTCTCCTTGAGGCAAGAGAAAAATTCGGTGTGATGATATGGAACGTCCACACCATGTATGAGACTGGCAAAGCTGCCCAGATTGCAAATGAGATGAAAAGATTTGATATTCAGTTACTGGAAATATGTGAAAGCAGATGGAATGGGAGTGGACCCACAAAATTGTCAAAGGGAGAGTCAGTGATCTACTCTGGTCACCCACAATAAAACCATGAGCGCACTGAGGGTGTGGCTATCAACGGCAACGTAGGCCCTGATACAATGGGAGGCGATCTCGTCCAGGATAATGACCGCCAGATTCAACTCCAAAGGAAGGAAAGTGTCAATTATACAATGTTATGCACCCACAAACAACGCAGATCTCGAAAAGAAAGAAGAATTCTACAAACAACTACAGGCAGCAATGGACAATACTCCAGCTGGTGACATTAAAATACTAGTGGGAGACATGAACGCCAAACTGGGACCAGACAACACAGAAAGGGAACTCATCATGGGTAGAGAAGCTCTCAGGGAAATGAATGAAAACGGAGAACTCTTCGCTAACTTCTGTGCCTTCAATGAACTAGTGATTGATGGCGGCGTATGCAAGCATAGGGATATCCACAAGGTTACATGGATATCACCAGATGGGCGAACCAAAAACCAAATTGACTTCATCTCAATGCTGCTCAAAGAAGTGGAGACGCAGATTACTGGACACAAAAGTAAGAGGAGGAGCAGACGTTGGCTCAGACCACTATCTCGTACAAGGACACTCCAAATCAAATTAAAAGCTTTCAAGGAAACAAGACTTGCAGATAGAACAAAAACCAAGTTCAGTACTCAAAACCAGAAGAATCAAGATACAAAGGATATCTTCACTGCAATCATAAGGGAAAAGGTGGAGACACATCAACACTAGCGAAGAGACCAGCGTTGAAAAGCACTGGAACAGCCTGAAAGCGGTGTGGAGTCAAACCTGCATGGAATTTCTGGGCAGAAAGAAGAGACAAGACAAATATTGGCTCACTACAAACACATGAAGTTTAGTAGCAATGAGAAGAATGTTGAAACAAAAGATTATCCAGTGCGTCGACGAGCAACAAAAACAGGAGTTCAATGCAAGCTATAATACACTGAACAAAGGAGTAAAGAAAAGTGTCAGTGAAGAAAAAAGACAATATTAAGAAGCTATGACAAGTGAAGCAGCACAAGCTGCAGGCAAAGGAGACCTCCAACACTCTACCAAAACAATTAGGTTCCCATAGGGGAAAAGTTCAACACAAATTAAGCCAGTGAAGGATGACAATGGGAGGTCGATCATCAAAGAGGTAAAGCGAAGGAAACACTGGGCTGAACACTTCAAAGGACTTCTAAATCGACCACCACCTACAACGCCCCCAATAATACCAACAGCGGAAGCAGAAATACCAATGGACATCAACCATCTGGTGAGAACAGAAATCCTCAAGGCAATAAAGAAGCTAGAAACTGGAAAAGCAGCAGGACCAGACGGAATCCTAGCAGAATCATTGGAAACGGACCCAGAGACATCAACGGACTTGATGGAGCCACTTCTGGAAAAGGTGTAGAAAGAGGGCAAGGTAATTGCGGATTCGAAGAAAGGCTACTTATTCAAACTGCCAAAGAAAGGAGACTTAAGTCAATGCAAGAACTGGCGCGGAATTATGCCCCTGTCCATCCCAAGCAAAATACTACGTCGCATCATCCTGGAGAGAATCAAAAACGCCCTGGATGCAAAACTTCGACCGGAACAGGCTGGATTCAGGAGAAACAAGTCATGTATTGATCAAATCGCCACTCTACGGATCATCATTGAACAAAGCTTAGAATGGCAGTCACCTCTCTATCTGAACTCCATCGACTTTGAAAAGGTCTTTGACGGCGTCGATCGAGAGGTCATTTGGCAACTACTTCGCTACTACGGGGTATTACCGACAATTAAACACCTCATCCAACAGCTATACGACAATGCTGCGTACCAATTAATCCAAAACGGGAAACTTACGGAGTCCTTCGAAGTAAAGACGGGAGTAAGACAAGGCTGTGTACTATCGCCAAGGGTTTTCCTGATTGCGGTAGGCTGGATAATGAGACAGACAATGGGCAGTGAGGGAACAGGCATAAAATGGACCCTCACGAAAAACCTGGAGGATCTGGACTTCGCCCACAAACTTGAAGACATGCAAGTGAAAAGCAACAAGTTGGCAGAAGAAGCATAAATATAGGACTTTAGGTGAACATATAGAAAACAGAGGTGATGAAGATTCCTCGACAACACCACCAACAGCAACAGACGACAATCAGCATAAATGGAAGAAATCTGAAAGAAGTAACCTCCTTTACTCACCGACCTGGGAAGCATCATTTCAACTACAGGCGAATGGAACTGACGGGGATATCAAAGCAAGGATCGGGAAAGCAAGGCAAGCTTTCACTACTCTCAAGTCTGTGTGGAGGTCAACAGAACTCAGCATCAAAAATAACATCCGGATTTTCAACTCCAATAAGAAGTCAGTCAGTGCTACTATACGGATCAGGGACTTGGCGCGTCACGAAGGGCACTTCGAACAAACTAGAGACTTTCATCGACAACTATCTTCGCTCAATACTCAAGATCAGATAGCCAGTCAGAAAATATCAGCAACAGGGATCTCTGGGAGTGAACCGACCCAGCGGGAACCGATTGTGCGACAAGTATGCAGGAAGAAATGGAGGTGAATTGGCCGTACTCTGAGAAAACCATCAAGTGACATCACACGCCAGGCTCTCGAGTGGAACCCGAATGGGAAGCGGCAAGTTGGTCGTCAGTGCGAGGGTGATATGGAGGAGGTAATGTGAAGAGGAGATGAGAGCATTTAGGCAGACGTAAAGCCAGGTGAAAACTCTAGCAGAGAACCGAACGCAATGGAGACGTGCGGTTGAAGCCCTACGTTCCTCTAGGAATTAAAGGATATATATATATATATATATATATATATATATATATATATATATACAAATTCACTTCTTTTGGAATATCCTAGCTTGCACTGGAGGAACTTAAACGTATCAAGGGTTACAAGTTGGAAACTCGAAGGTGGCCAAATAATTTGTAGAAATCTGGAATTTGTATGGAACTGATGCCAACATACACCTTAAACAATTCAGATCTACAATCTACCCAAAAAACGAAGATATTTTGCAGCTGACAGTAAATGGATGAATTGAACCAGTCACTATGGTAAGCAATTAGCCTACTGTTACTCAAAATGTCCCTTCACTTACAAAAGATATTTGGATTAGAAAATGAACGCTTTGAAGAGACCGAACTCGCTTGTTTTCCTATGCATTTCGGTTAAAATGCAAGACTCAGAGATGAAATGCAACACAACAGTAGAATATAGTAATAGTTTTGAAATCATGTCAGTAGTGTCTGATTATTTTCGCAACCATCCACAACAACACATCAAAGTACTAAACAAATAAATTTTTAAAATTGAAAATTTCAGCGGCGTCTCCTAGTAGTGAAAGAATTGGCCTCAAAAAGAAATAATTGACACTATTTAGCGATTAAAGAATGAGAACGCTATAGTACCCCATGCAACGACGCTCAATAATTAATCTAACGGGTGGAAATGGATACAGTATGCATAAGCAATGGTTTCCACAATAAACATATTTCAGTGATAAAGTATTTATAATTAACCAAAATCTTCCTTCAAAAAAATGCTTAACTAAAATCTCTAGCACTCACACAGTCGTAAGCTCATCGTCTTTCGGATATTCATGTGCAATAGATGAATTATCTGCTTCAACCTGTGGACATGTAATGCTTTCACTGTCCTGCAGCACCTATAAAAAAACGTAATGTCAGTGAAAATGCTGCGAAACAGGAGTAAAAAGAGACCGCAGAAACAAACTGTATGTTAAGTAGCGTTTCGAGTACTATTTACTACAATCATACCGTGGAAAGAATGAAGCGCTGCCCGGTAAACAGCTCTGTTTAACTGTGTGGTAAGCCTGACAAACACAGGTCAGTTTCTTAGTTGGTACAGAGTCCGCATGCATGACCTGGCGTTGCAATCAATAAGAAGTTACCTGTTACTACATCACCAAGGCTTTTTCAGAAAAGCATTTATAGCGCAGTACCACATCTCACTATCTATTACTGCGTTTGAGGTGAGGGTGATTAAATAATAAAAATGTTTGGAAATCGCCAACAGAATGCTTAGCATATCACAATTCCCAAAGGAAACAGGATGTTTATATATATTTTAAGTTGGGATTGAAGGCCATAGGAAGTGGGAGGATTGAAATTTTTTATGGCAACTGCTTCAACTATGCTTAGCAATCGGAGGGCTTACAAATTTAGGGAATCGAAATGGCACCTTGTATGGAACTGAAAAGGCTGAATTTCTCTCAATCTTGTGCTCCGTATGTTATGACAACAGTGAATTGAATAACCCCATCACTTATTTGTTGTGATAGATGTCGCAAGTTGGAATAAACTCGTCGACAACTGATATAACCGGGTGGACTCATACGTGAGTATAATAATACTGGTGCCATGAACAACTTGTATGCTAAGTAGCGTTTCGAGTACTATTTACTACAGTCATACCGTGGAAACAATGAAACGTTGCCAGGTAAACAACTCTGTTTAACTATGTGATATGCTAGATGCACATACTCGTCCGTGGTTCCTGCAACTTCATTGAGCCACAATATTAATATCAAAAGACAAAGAATGGCCTGTGACTGTTAAGAAACACCTTTTTTTAAAGAAAAATCACGTCATACTTATGTATTCTTAGCCATATTATAATCCATAAAAAATCAAAACAAGGGATTCAGCGAAGAGACTTTTCAACGAATTTATCATCAAGCTGTACAAACGTATATATGTGGTTTTTAAGAAGTTATATCCGATGAGGGAATTGAATCATAGTTGTGAATGCATAAAATAATAATAATATGAAGTGCAATTAAAACTAAAATGTTTGTGATTATAATCATAGTTAAATGTCAAGCGGCAAAACAACTTAATGTCATTTATATGGAATAATTCACAAGATGGATAGAACTTGAAAAAGGGTGTGCAATTATAGGATTAGTAGACAAATCGAATAAAACAAAAGCTTTACGTCATATTGTGTGAAATTTGATAGCATAGAATTTATCGTTGTAAAAACGAATTGATTTAGAATGACAAGTGAAATAATACCGGGGACAGTTCAAAGTGAGAATAGTAATAATAACATTTGACGTAATAAGCAAGAGTATGCAAATTGAATAGACAAAATGAAAAAATTGGTAGAGCTAAAATATGATTTCGGAGTACCATACTTTAGCATTGAAGGATTAAGACCATGAAAGTTGCAGGGGTTGAACGAACTTTTTCTGTACACAGAGATCTGGCTTTTCTGTTTCGACAGCCAAAGCTTCTTATATATATATATATATATATATATGTATATATACGAATGTACAGCTCGATGACAAATTCGTTGAAAAGAGTCTCTTCGCTGAATCACTTGTTTTGATTTTCTATATGTTACAATGGGAATTTTCCATGACATTATAATATGCCTGGGGAGGTGGAAATGGAATGTTCTGCTTGGTAGGTGATTTGGGTAGGTCGGAGAAAATCAAATATTCTGATTGTTTGGGGATTCGCCCAGGACCAAGGTGGGAAAAATATAATAAAATTTTGCAGTCACCCGATCACACAACGAATCATATGATAATTACTGCTTTAAGCTGATTCTAATCACCGTATCCACAAGGTGTACCAAGATGGAAATCCTGACTGACCTTACAATTCCATTACAATGCCTTACAAAGTACCACCTCAATTTCACACGTCTGTACGCCTTCGATTGCTAAGCATACCTGAGGCAGTTGCCATAACGATTTTGCAACCCAATGTATGTGTTCAAAAAAGATTTGATCAATTTATCTCCCTTACTGTCCGTTAGTTGCATATTTTAATCTTAGTTTCACAAACTACTATTATTATACTATCTAGCCATTTTGTGACAGCAGTTAATTTCCCCTCTACCTTTACTAGTATAAACATTCTACTTGATTCTACTAGTTCATATTGTTCCAAATGTCTATGACTAATACTTAGTTTTATTGAAGCCTGGTGATAATTTACGGAAAATACGGTATCTGCTTAAATCGTATTTTATCTTTTAAAGCTGCATTATGGTCGTTTAGACTTTTCTACTCGAAATAGAAGTTGTAGGACAACGAGAAGTATGTTGAGATAGTATTCTATCCACGTTAATTATTGCTTGTGCAATACGAGAAAAACCCTTCTACAGAAAAAGGTGACCGTCAAACAAATACTAAACGCATACAAATAATTCAGTATTTTAAGATTATGTTGTTAGCCTCTTTCTGATCATACACTTTATCTAACTGTAACAATTTCAAACCTCATGTAAAAAAAAGATTAGAAAAAATATCTCCAATAACACTCACAAAGGTTTGGTGAGTATCAAAAAAGTGGATTAAGGCTATCCTATCTCAATCTATATGAATTTATATTTAAACATTTTTTGATATTTTGTACATGGAGAAAATAAAAGAAAATTTAGCGAAGAAATTTTTACTCATCTACAAAGTTGTCTTTAAAGGCTTTAGAGTTGTATTTAAATTTACCAAAAACATATAGTAGTCTATTTTTGAATAATACGGCTACTTCACTTATTTGAGAAGTACCATCAGCCCCCAACGGGCTGATCTCTGACGAAATCTCAGCACGAATACAAGGGGCTCGTTTCGCATTTGCCAGTTTACGTTGACTCTGGCGTAGACGAGATGTTCGACTATCGACCAAGGGGAGGGTGTACTGCTCATCAGTCCGCTCCGTCCTCCTTTATGGCTGTGAGACCTGGCCACTGAGAGTGGAAGACATGAAAAGACTAGCTGTCTTTGATCATAGGTGCCTGCGCTCTATTTCCCGTGTAAAGTGGCATAATAAGGTGAGCAACATTGAAGTTAGGCGTAGAGTTCTAGGTAAACAGGGGAAATCAATCGACGAAGTCGTGAAGCTACAAAGACTGAGATGGTTAGGACATGTGTTACGTATGCCAAGCCATCGCCTCCCTCGACAATGGGCAATGTTAGCGGATATAGGGTCAGGCTGGAAAAAAGCTAGCGGCGGTCAGACAAAAACTTGGCATCAGTCAATGAAATCCACAACAGTTGGTCTAAGCCACGTAGGAAGGTGTAGACTTCCAGGCTGGGGTCCTCGGGACGATAAAAATCTATGGTTGCAAACAATTGGTGACATGGCTCAAAATCGTTCTCAGTGGCGCAGATGCATCCACTCCTTGTGACATATGATCTCCACCAATGAAACTGTTTTGTTCTTCGTTACTACTATTCCATTGTCTCACACCTCTGTTTATTGTCTTTATTATGCATTTCTTGTACTTTCTTCTCTTGCTTTGTGTGCTACACGGAGTGTGGCGACTTGAACTTCGGCACATTTGTGCAAAGTTCTATGTCGAAAACAGACAGACACTTTCCAAAATTCATCTCCCAATATTATCTGACATGGTTATCAAGAGGACAATGCAAGACAATTGGTGGCTGATTTCTCAAGCACCTTGTGAACTTAGGCCACACGCCTTCACTAGAGTCACCTTTTAAAATTATCTTTAACATGACACTGTATGGTAAAAAGGCTGTTAGGTCGCAGCACTAGCGCGAGCGATTCACCAATATAACCCGGAACTCCGTGTGCGGAAAAGGTTTGTTCAGTCTCTTATTCTACCATAGTCTGAGAATTTATCCTACCAGTTCGCTCCTATTTTTAGTAATGATTTCACTATTATCACTCTTACATGTTTCTTTTTTGTTTCATGTTCCACTAAAATTTCTCTCGCTTCCTTTGACACTGTCAAATGGATAGTCAACTACCTTGCTTCTCATTGAATTATAATTTTCACTTTATTACATTTCAAACCCTTGCTTCCAATGTGTTGTTGACTTATTACGTGATCTTTCATTCTTACAAACTAATTCTGAGTAATTGCATCAACTATATCAACCCTCTGTTATTCAATGCTAAACTAATATAAGTTCTTGTTAAATATAAATACGATTGTACAGCCTCTGAAAATAACTTCGTCGATATACAAAATTTTCTTCGCTGAATTGTCTTCATTTTTCTTTATGGCTCAACGTGTATTTTATACACGACAAATATAATGGTAGAATTAATATATGTTGAAACAGTTAATGAAAGCATTAGCTCACTTGATTTTCGTTCATCTCGGTAAAGTGATGGAGTTGTTGCAACGTGATGTACCAGTATTTTACAACAGTTTCATAATCATTCTATGCGTATTATAAAAGTGAAAGTTAAACTTACAGGAAAACTGTAGACCGCTACTTCTAGGTTTCGATCTTTTTTATATTTAACAGGTATTTCATGAATAAATTCAGCGTCTTCACGCTCAACGACGTTACATCGTAATCCAGTGTTTGTAGCATCCAAAGTGAAGGACTCCGATGGAGCAAATTTCTCTTCAGCATATATATTTGCAAAACTGACATAGCCTGAACGCTTTTTCGCTCTTCGTGTGCAATCAGAAACGTCCTGAGAATCGTACAATACGAGAAAATACATACATTCCAGTTGTCGGCAGTGTAAGAATTCTGCATTGCTCCATCTTCACCAAATATGATTTTCTTCACGAAAGGAACACGAAGTTTAGTTGGAGCTTCTGAAGCATCGGTATTCTGCAAAGGCTGAGATGGAGCGGCTTGTTTTTTTGTTCTACGGCGTCTCTTACGAGATTTGCGAATGCTACGCGTTCAATAAAATTATTGGTGCACACTTACTTATCAGCTTTTATATTAACATCTCCACTGGGTTCTATCTGTAATTCACATGGAATTTCCATAATTCAATCTCCTAAAATACAAAACAGAGTTGACGGACATAATATGGCAGCCGATTATGCAAGATTAGCATTACAAATCATCCCCTTTCCGTACTTCATGTTTAGCTGACTAATCAACCTTTTCTTAATGAAAACTCATATTCCTTTAAGTCTTTATCAAAAACATTTGTTCTGCGTGATATTTAAGCTGTTTATCATTTTATTCGGCTTACAGTAAAACTACTTTATGATAGTTAAGTAATATGCAAGTCTATAACGCACTGAAGAGATGGAAAAAAATACAACAATTCAACTATTTATGATGTAATTCCACACTTTCAGGAAGGAAAAAATTGTTCGAACGCAGATCACTCCTAAACTAGCCACTGCACAGATTCAACACATGCCTATTACTGCGAACTATGTGATGAATTAGAATCTGATGCCTAAAACAAGCCACCCTCATTCCACGGTAGAACAGAGCTCTCTGATAACGAGTACAGTATGTCGAGACTTCCCTCCCAGGCAGGGACTGATGGGACCAAATGGAGACTCAGGTCTGGAGGTATAGACGAAAATGTCAAACGTTGATAGGTATGCTTGTCTTATTAACCTATTGATGAAAGGTGACAATGTTAACACAGAAGCCTCATCAGTGTTTGGAATTCGGCTGATTGTTTCAGATTCAGTGTCTCTTAGCTCCACATAACCTTCTTATGAATATGAATCCGAATACTTGGAACATTACTGTTCTTGTGCTTATGACGTAAGGGCTTATCCTCTTACCTCGGCCTTTACCTCGCAAACCTATGAGTTGGGTAATTTAGTCCATACTTCACTGTATTAGTCCCTGGTCATTTTTGACTCCAGTGTGTATTCCGCCTTCCTGATTTGTCGTGTTTTAGATCTCAGGTAAAATCTGAGACTTCGGAGACAGTTGGCTAGCGTCCAGGTTGTCAGTCCTGAAGAGTTAGTGAAACTCCATATATTTTCACGTACTATAATTTCTGTATATGAAATCTCGTTTAGTCTTGCTAATGGTCAAGTGCCACTCAGTGTTTTAAATGCTACCGCGCTATCGGTGGTGGCCACTGCTGGCAATGGCGGATGAAGGTACTCTACGGCTGCCCAGCAATTGGTGGGTGTAGGTGGATTAGGCGTGCTACCCTTTGATTGGAGCTCAGGTTCCTAACCCAATACTCCTGAGTCTGTCTTACAGCAGTGACGTAATAGTCAATCACAATTTCAAATTTTGTTATTCAGACAACACTGACTTAGTTTCCAATGTAGAACTATGAACAAATTTACAGCAGCAAAAGTTGCGAAACTCCAATTACACACATTCGAAGGAACTATAGAGAGTGGAAATGTACAAGGAAAATAATAGTAACGTGGAAAAACATGAGAACTTAATGGATCTGGTAGATCAAAATAGCTGGATGAACCCACACCATCTAGAATGATTTTGATTCATATCACCAACAGTACCAAGCCATTGGATTTTACTGCTTCTAGGAGCCCGACTAGGCAGCCTACACGGTTTTTGAAAAAATCGTGAACTGATGTTACGTTATGAGTGGACCATCCAGAGCTCTTTTACACCTTAGTTATGTGCTAGGTGACATTTCTCGTGGAGGAAGGCAGGCAGTGAGGTGACTCGTCATGCGCAACACGTGTCCTAGCCATTTCAATCGATGTAGCTTGACTGACAACTTCATCTCTCATCGACTTGCCTTCCTCGCCTAGTACTGACTCTACGCCTAAGCTCAATATTTGTCGCCATATTATACGACTCTTAACTAACACGAGAGATAGAAGGCAAACCTCTGTGCTCAGAGACAACTACCCGAGGTTGGTGAAAGCCGGCCTTCAAGAAGACAGTCATTCAGTTCATGTGTCTTCTCTTGATGAAAGCAAAAATAAGAATGGGGACGTGAAATGTACGTACAATGTACAACACTGGAAAGGCTGCCCAGGTAGCCAAAGAAATGCGAAGATATGGTACAGAAGTGCTGGAAATGTGCTACAGCAGATAGAAAGGTAGTGGATTATCATAATTGTCAACTGGAAAGTCAGTAATCTACTCTAGTCACCCAGACGACAACCACGAGCACACTGAGTGGCTGTAATGATGTCACCTGTCGCAGTCAAAGCCCTAATGCAGTGGCAACCAATTTCGTCCTGCAGGATCATGACAGCAAGATTCAACTCAAAAGGAGGGAAATTCACAATTATCCAATACTACGCACAGTACTACAAACAATGTGGAAGAAGAGAATAAGGGAGCTTTTTGTTGATAACGACAGACAGTAATGGACAACGTCCAAAGTGGTGACAACTAAATCCTCATGGGCGATATGAATTACACATAAACTGAGAACGGACAATGCAGAAAGCGAACTAATTTATTATGGGTCGCGAGACTCTCCCTCAGAGAAATGAAAGAGAACGGAGAACTCTTCGCAGACTTCTGAGCTTTCAATGATTTTGTAATCGGAAGTAGCGTGTACGAGCACAAAAATACACACATAGAAACATGGATTTCGACTGACGGACACACTGAACACCAGATAGATCTCACCTCTATGTCATCTCAAGAAGTGGAGACAGCCTGCTGAACATAAAGTCAAAAAGGGGAGCAGATGTGGGCTCAGGCCATTATTTAGTTAAAAGAACCTTCAAGGTGTAGCTGAAATCCATGTAAACAAATGGAGACAGACTACAACTCAAGTTCAACATTCAAAAACTGAAGGAATAAATCACAACGGATACCTTCACTATAGACATCAGAGCAAAGACACACTACGTGTTATCAACGATAAAACCTGTGTGGAAGAACATTGGAACTCTCTGAAGGTAATATTTAAGGAAACGTGTACAACTGCTCTAGGAAGAAAGAAAAGACAAGAAAAGGAATGCCTCTCAACCGACAACTACCTGAAAGCTAATAGAAGCAAGGAGGATGGTGAAAGAGAACACAACTCAATGCATAGATGGACAACAGTAGGAGAAACTGAGTTCAATGTGCACTGTACCGAATAAAGAAGTGAAGAAAAGTGCTAGGAAGGACAAGAGACAATTCCACGACACACTGGCTGGCGAATGAAGCAGAACAAGCAGGCCGCATGTAAAAAAGACGCAATGACATTATATCAGATAACCACGTCTCTATCCGGGAAGAGATCAACCCAGATGATAAAACCAACAAACGATATTCAAGGGAACCTTATCACCAAGGAGGACAGATAACTGAAGCAAAGGGATAATCACTTCGAAGAACTCTTGGATCGACAATCGTCGCCTACATCTTGGCCAGAAACCCCACCACCAATAACAACACGCACACAACTGCCGCCTGCCAGTGGACACCAATCCTCCAACGAAAACAGAAATCCTGAATGCAATCAAGCTACTGAAGGCCATCCAGGAACGCAGGAGGATCAGAAGGAATTACCCCCGAAGCACTGAAAATGGACCCAGAGACTGCGGCGTTTGTGCTCACACCATTGTTGGAAAAGGTCTGGAAGGAAGGAATGGTGCCTACCGGTTAGCAGAAAGGCTACCCTGTCAAGCTGTCAAACAAAGGCGACTTAAGCCTCTGCTAGGACTGGCATGGAATCATGCTCTTGGTCATGCCAAGTTAAATACTAAGTCACATCATCCTGGAGAATAAAGGATACACTGGATACAGAACTCCACCAGCTCCAATGGAACAAGCTGGCAGGATTCACGAAAGGCAAATCATGTGCTGATCAAATTGCAACTTTACGCATTATCATCATCATCATCATCGAACAAAGCATAGAATGGCAGTCAAACCTCTCTCTACCTCAACTTCATCGACTTCGAAAAGGCCTTCACAGCACAGCGTTGACTGAGAAGTAATTTGGAAACTACTGTTTCATCACTAGGACTCTAGAAGACCTGGATTTCACGCTCGGATTATATATGTCTAATGGCACACAAACTCGAAGACTTACAGGCGAAACCCAACAAACTGGCTGGGGGCTGGCAGAGAAGACAGGACTCCAGGGGAAAATAGAGAAGACGGAGGTGATGGAGATAGCCAACTAACAACAACAACTAACACCAATCACCATCAACGGGAGAAATTTAACAGAGGTTACTTCCTTCACTTATCTGGGCAGCATCGTTCCAACTAGAGGTGGCTACACAGATGAAGATGTCAGAACTAGGATATGAAAGGCAAGACAGACCTTAATCACTTTGAAATCAGTGTGGGAATCCACACTCGGTATAAATAACAAAATTCGGATTTTCAACACCAATGTCAAGTCAGTTCTTTTATTTGTGTTGGGAACTTGAAGCGACACCAGAAACATATCGAATAGGCTTCACACTTATCAACAGCTGTCTTCGCCGGCTCCATTCTGAAGATTAGATGGCTAGAAAGAACTAGGAACAAGAAACTTTGGCTGGAAACAAACCAACCAAGAGCCGATCACTCAATAAATACGTGAGATCTTTGGTTGGAAATAATTGGTGACTTGGCTCAAAATCGTTCTCAGTGGCGCAGATGCATCCACTCCTTGTGACCTATGATCTCCAATGAAACTGTTTTGTTCTTCGTTATTACTCCTTTGTCTCACACCTCTGCTCATTGTCTCTATTATGCTTTTCTTGTACTTTCTTCTCTTGCTTCGCGTTCTACACGGAGTGTGGCGACTTGAACTTCCGCACATTTGTGCAAAGTTCTATGTCGAAAACAGACAGACAGACAAATATGTGAGAAAAAATGGAGATAGGTCGGGTATACATTGAGGAAATAGTTAAATGACATCGCATGCCAGGTCCTCAAGTGGAATCCAGATGGAGAGCGATGAGTGGGTCATCCTAGGGTGACATCGAGGATATCGTGTCAGGAAGAGATGAGAGTTTTTGCAATCGTGGACTTGGCTGAAGAGGATGGCAGAAAATAGAACAAAGTGGAGATGTGTTGTTGAAACCCTATGTCCCACTCGGAACCCAAGAGAACAATAATAATAACATGAAAATAAGAC